ATGCCGGGCCGTTGTTATGGTTCATCTATTTCGTAGTTTACATCAGATGTCTTGTTAGTCTCCACTGTGTAACAGCTGCTAATAGTGTTTTCAGTGGTGAAAGTAACTTTTTTACCGGTACAATATAGTGGGTTTTCTTCCCCCACCCCCATCTACACACACTTTATACAAATCAACATTGCTAAGTTACGCTGACCAAATTGAGATTTTAATAACAGATGCTACATTTGGTAGAGAAAAAAATGAATCCATTTATATTTCATTTCGAAACACTGTTATGTTAAGCTGAAACATAAAATGACCTTGACAAATTGATTTGCCTGTACGGTGTACTGGCATTAAAATTCTTACCAGTGTGCCTTACCTGACCTTACTTATTGTCTTTCACCACTAACATTTAAATCAGTGGTTCATCATTGTATGCTGGTATAAACTGTGATATTTTTTGGCATAAACTTGTTCGTGTTTAATTTGCGGTATGTGTTCTATTGGAAGATATGAATTCTATGGGTTTGACATTTAAATCCTATTACAGAAGTGGAGGAAACAATTTTGCATTGGTCACACAACTCAGAATAGTAAGGCATGCCAATGCTAGGGGGGGACATGTCTCCCCAGGAAAAATTTGAAAAATAGGTAATCTGAGATTGAATTATGTGCTAATATAATTTATTGAAAATATTAATCATTTGCAAGCAATTCTTTATGATTCACAAAAATAGGTGTTCACTGGCACTTATACTCACCATAGTTATAAACAAGCACAAACATATGTACACTTGCAGATTACATATGTAATATATTATGCATTGTTATGCTGAATCATACATACTACTATAAGTCTATATGTTTACCTAGAAACAATTTTTGAAGTGCGAGTTAAAGTTTAAAAAACCCTATAGTTACTGTGACAAAATGTTGGTCCGGCTGCTGCCCGGTCTGCCGGACCTGCTCCGGTGCATGTGTAATATTCATTATGAATTAACCAATGTGAACTATAACTGGAGTAAAATACTTTCATATGTTTTATTCACCATTAAAACGAAAGCATGAAAAAATGTGAGGGTTAACTTCTTATATAACTATCTTTTTTTAACCATATAAACTTTTATTATTATTTTTTTAGTATAGCATATTATTAGCTAATAGTAGCACACATACTGAAAACAATTCTAACACAGCAGAGTTTCCAAACTTGGAATCCATTGGCTGATTATACTGCATAATGAGTTTTAATATACATACATTGGCTGATAAAAAGCTATCATTCAAGAACTTTGACACCTTGACTGAAAGGATTGTACTACCAACCCTAAGTTTTGGTTTCTTGGTTGATGGGATTGTATTGTGAGATACAATTTTGATTAATAAATTGTATAATAATTGTAATATTGAAATAGCTTTTATAGACAAGGTTTGCTATTTACTCAATATAATTAACCTATGCAGTTCAATGCATACAGTTCCTCCGTAGTTATTATTTGGAACTTTCAGAAAATTATTATGAAAAATTAGTTAATGCTCAGAAATACCTAGTGACAAAAGTAAATATTTCTTGTTTATAAAAATTGTAACTTTTCTAATGATTTTACTGCTTTTTTTTTTCAAGTATCACTATCAAAGATTTAAGAATAAGCATAAAAGAAAAACATTTGTTCAAGACTGAACACTTTACCAAATATGTTTTACTACCTAAACTTAGATATTTTAATAATACATGCTCTAAGAAAGAGGAGATTCAGATACTCATTCCTTCTTTCACTCACAAACAAAATAAATAAAAAAATTATAATAACCTTTCTCTTTGAATTATTGTCAAGAATACACAAAAAAAATCTGCATCTGAAACATCTGTAGTTAAGACTTTCTTGAAGCATGATTCCAGAACAATAAATTACATTAACTAAATCCCTCTCCATTATTTATTTTAGTAAATACTGCTCAAATAAAAAAAAGACTGTATGAGGCTCTGGAAATTTTCTAATAGAGTAGTCTCTTATATTTTAGTGAATCAACCATGACTGCTTTAAGGTGGCAGCAAACACCTCCCAATGGCCATGGTTCCCAGCAACTATCTGTTGTCACAACTGTTTGGGGAATGTCTCCCAACACACAAAGTGGTCCTTTAGCCCATAACTCCTACAATGGCACAAACACATCGGCATCTCAAGGTCCATATTCACAAGGTCAACATGGTTATCCTGGAGTAATGACTCCTAAACCTTATCCCCCTCAGGGCATGCCTTCTAGACAACCAACACCAACATATAATGGGTGAGTTAGCAATACATAATATTATTCTGTAAATAAACATGTCTATGTAGTTATTTATTTGTACATAATATTCATGCTCATTTTATACCAGATCTTTATTTTCTACTGATAATCTATTAAAAGTTTTTGAGAAACAAAGAAAAATCTATGAATAGACAAGCTTTAAAATATCATTGATAATTCTTTTTAGCATATGGGAAGTACAGTTGTTTTCATAATTTCAAGGATATTCTGTGCAAGCAAACATTATGCTGTTATTTTACTGTGTGTTTTAATTCAGGTACAGACATACTCCAACACCTATGGGCACAGCCATTGGGCCAAGTATGACAAATGGTGGACCAGCTGCTGGTGGAGACTATCAAGGATCCTCAGCTGCTCTGAATGCTGCCACTCTTGTAGCAAGAGCTGCAGCTGCTGCCACAGCAACAGCAACAGCTACAGCCAGTGTGGTAGCCTTTCAGGATCAGCACCAACATGAGACAGACATGGGTAATCAGTATCATAATCAGGTACATTTTGTCACATTTAAACATTGATATGATTCTGATAGTCTTGCCATTTGTTTTATTATATATCTCATAGGTAGTATAACTTAGTCATAATAACTTCATGAACTTATTAAAACACAGATTATTAATGGCAAATACAAAGGTATCCATTATGTAGAATGCCCCTTTACTGTATAATGAGCTATAGTTTAGGGATGAGAATTGGTTGCCATTTGGTGGATTTCTGCTGTTTCTATTGTCAAATTGGTCATCCACTCAATTAGCTCAAATCCAGAGAAAAATGTTGAAGAAGGTGGGATAGGAAGCTGGGGTTGGAGGCAAAATACTCGATATGTGAGGTTCTTTTTTAACTGGCTGAGTAATGGATAGTTGACAAATCGTAAAATGTTTTTTGAAGCCAAAAGTATCCACACACCTTGGAAATATGCAAACTACTTAAAACAATGGCAAATGATTGAAAAGGTTTAGCATGGAGGTAGGTTTTAAATCTTTAACCATCCACATTAGTGGTGTGCACTTTTTTATCTGTCCATTTATAATTACATAGAACAGACATATTTTGTTTGGACATTATTTTCATGTGTGAAATCATTTAGATGAAGCCTAAATTAGACCGTTATAATAATTAGGGACTTTTATTACATTTTACAGATTCTGAAAATATTTGTAATCTCATAAATTATGTTACACATGTCTAATAACTTTTCATTTTGCATTAATCCAAAGAATCTGGTCATGTATTACAATGCATAATTTATATATCATATAAAGTATTGCTTTTACTTTATAATATTTATGTTTAGCATATGTTTCTAAGTCATAAGGCTTGATCTTACAAAATTAAAGATGAATGTTCTTTATCTGTTAAATTGTGTGAATAGTAAGATATCTTTGTACTTAAATGCAATTTGGAGGTCTTGTTTAGGAAATTTCATAAAAATATAAAAGAAAAAATTCACAACCAACTTTTGTGTCTTACTGAACTAATTCATTATCTGCCGTTACATGATCATGTTCCTTTATCAAGCAAAATTTACTGAAAAAATGGTTGTCACAATGTATAAAAATTCCAGCATGCATCAGTTTACTTTAAAATTGAAAAAGAAGTCTATTAGGATAGGCAAAGGTTCATGTATAAACATGCCTATCTTTCTTTTGAAAGATTCAGTTTATGATGTGGTTGGTCAGCTTTTTGTCTTAAAGCCATTGGACCATAGTTTTAGCAAGACTTCTCAGTGATAATTAGACAACAGATGAAATTTAATAGTACGGTCAAAAGTTATCTGTTAAAACTAATTATTAATGTTAGAACAACATATCTAAAGTCCATGTTCAAGTTCCTTCTGCAAAACAAAATATTTTAGCAGAGTTATTACAAAAAGTAAGGTTTTTTCATTTTTTACACGTATTTGAAAGGCAATGTCTCTCAAAGTTTTACTTTTACCCACAGATGCAAAACATGCCAAGTCAACAGTTTCAGCAAGGATATGGTCCACCAGGCCCACAGCAGATGTCCTCAGGCCCACCAGTGGGGAATCACATGAGCAACCACATGAACAATACTGTGGGAGGGCCAATGTCATCAATGCCTGGATCCATGATTCCCATTAATTCTTCTGCAATGAGCACAGCTAATACCATGAATCCCCAGATAGCTATGAATGGGTCAATTGGAGTGAACAAAAGTGGAATGCAAGGAGTGCAAAATATAGGAGGATCTGGACAACCCATGTATCCATTGCCATCTCCTGCAATGGGACCCCAGACCCGTGCTCGGTCAGCCCCATACCCTAATCCATCTCAATACATGGTTCAGAAACGACAAGCACAGTATGGTACTGTTATGGCTCATCAGTATGGCCCAAGTATACAGCAGTATGGGCCTGTCTCTCAACAGCCATACAACACAGCTCAAGTAAGCAAGCCAGAATGTTCATTTAAAAATTGTGGGTTAAAAGAAAAACTATTACTAACTATATATTTATGTTTTTTTATGATCATAATTAGAACTAGTGTTAGCAAGAAGGATATATCAACATATTTATCATAAGTATTAGGTTATCTCAAGCTACGCTTTTTTTCAGTGCAGTTCATCAGTTCTGCTTCATGTTTCCTCAAAACTCAAATATTACATGTAGAAACTGGTAAGTAGACACTACATAATATTATGTAATTATTGTTTTATCATTTTGTTTTACTAATAAAACACTCTTCAATTTTTTCAGTTTTCTGGGGGTCAGGGAATACAGTATCCAAAACTGCCCCCTCAGTTTCCACCCTCTATACAACAGCAGCACCTCCCTTCAAGTGGCTATCCTCCTCAACAACAGATGCGACAATCCATGAGACCTCAGGCACCAGCATATACACCCCAACAGGAACATTATTATACACAGAACCATATGAATGGAGTCCCTCAACAGACACCATATGGAAATCATTACGTGGGACCACAGAGCTTTCAGGTGAGTGAGTCACCTAAAGATGAGGTTTACTGTAAGGTAAAAGTTATCACATTGAGTAATGCAAGATTATATGTATTTTTGTCAATGGTTATAAGTTTAAAAGTGGTGTTTTGAAGACTATTTAAACCATTTTGTTAAAAGTTATTAAGTTAGAAGATATTAACATTTCCAAAACAAATTGAATTAGCACAGCATTATCATAGGATTTACAGTCAATTTAAAGTACATGGTAGAATTAAAGCTCAACATCCAGCCATTTAAAACTTTTGTTATAGACATTTTTCTAATATACTAGTTAAGATGATCTTGCCAAAATGGTGTTCTAATGTGCAAACAGCAGAATTTTAGAAGTTAATACTATATTAAGAAAAGACTTGTAGATAAAATTTTTAAGCTTATTATTTTTTAGGTTTAACTTTTCTTTCTTTTCCTGCTAATGAAAATTCAGAGAAACATCAACTACCAACATTCACCAATTCCTGGAAACCCAACTCCACCATTAACACCAGCTTCTAATAGCATACCTCCCTATATATCGCCAAATTCAGGTGACATAAAACCATCATATCAAGACATCAAACCACAAATACCTCCAACAAGTTAGTATACCTCTATTATTTTTGTAATTCTACAAGAACGAAAAGATGCCTAAGGGAAGGAAAAATTAAATTGGTATATGTTTAAGAAATTCATTTTATTTATGCCTGAGGGCTCAAATAATATTGTATGTATTTACAGTGCATAGTTTTGTGAATTGTTTTTATTAATATTTGTTCATTTTTGTAGGTTTGCAGAAAATCATAAAGCATACTTTTTAATATTATTGTTATAATTTACATTTATTTAATAGTACTGGTTCTATGAATCACAAAAACCAATGCATAGAGCTGTTGAAAGTTTGAAAATTTTCATTTGGTCATAGCTAAAATTTAATATTTCTAACTTCATTTTTTTCATAGAGAATAAAGTTTTCTTTTAATGTAGTTTATCAGTTTAATAATAGTACTTATAATATGGTATTGCAGAAGACGATGAGCTGAGGCTGACATTTCCTGTCAGGGATGGGATTATCTTGCCTCCTTTCAGATTAGAACACAACTTAGCTGTTAGTAATCACTTCTTCCAACTGAAGCCATCTGTCTACCAAACACTGATGTGGAGGTCTGACCTGGAGCTACAGTTGAAGTGCTTTCATCACGAAGACCGACAGATGAACACTAACTGGCCAGCATCAGTGCAAGTGTCTGTGAATGCCACTCCAGTACCTATAGACAGAGGAGAGAATAAGACATCTCACAAACCTCTGTACCTGAAAGATGTGTGCCAGCCAGGTCGCAACACAATACAAATTACTGTCACAGCTTGTTGTTGTGTGAGTAATTGTTCAGCCTTTGATATAAATGGACAATTTTCTTAGCATGGAAAGTGTATTTCTTGTTGTAAAATCACTTATTGTTACATTGTTGGATAGAGTGGTGATGAATACAACACTTAATTTGTTTATCCATATTTTGTACAACTTTACTAAAAAGTAGATACTTTAAAGACATACTCTTGCATTAAAAAAATTGAAGGTACTGAAAAAAATTAGAATGCAGAAGCAAACAGGACAACTTAGATTAGGCAATGGTATTTTTTAACAACAAAGTAAAAAGTCAGTTTTATGGCCATTACAATTAATTCTTAGCTTAACCAGTTTGTACTTCATTTGCTTCACCATTATTTAGTTAATTCAGTAAAATGCATGAATTGTACAAAGCACCATTAAAGAAAATATATTTATTTATGTATTTGTCTGTGATGTTTGAATATACCATACATGAAGACGTTTGTGGTTAATAAATTACTGATATGTTTGTTTTCTTTTACTCTCTGCAGTCCCACTTATTTCTGCTACATCTTGTACACCGACCGACAGTGCGCTCAGTACTTCAAGGACTCCTACGGAACAGGCTTCTTCCAGCAGAGCATTGTATATCTAAAATTAAACGAAACTTTAACAGTGTAGCAGCAACAAATAGTACAATGAATGGTGAAGATGTTGTAGAACAGACAGCTATCAAAGTATCACTCAAGTGTCCAATTACCTTTAAAAGGGTAACATTACCTGCAAGAGGGCAAGACTGTAAGCATATACAGGTTAGAATGACACTAACAGCACTTAATGTGCTAAAAGCTGATTATTTCTTTTTGACTTGATCACCTCAAATTTTCCTTAGTTCATGAACATTTTACAGTTATATAATAAAAAAACATTATTAGTGTCTAGCTATGTATCATACTCTGAGAGAGCACAGATGATATCAAGATTACTTTTTTCTTTCTTTTGGTGGTGCATAAGATCACCCAGCAATGGTAAGATAATTAATGAAGTTAAGAAAGCTACCTTTATTAAAACACATAAACCTGTCCTTTGCCACCAAAAATAATTCATAAACAATCTACACATCTTTCAGTAGGTCTGTGACATTTCATGATTGTCTAAAGGACATGCCAATCAGTGATTGCCTCACAGGCCTACGTTGATCTGACTCATTTTATAAGCTGTACTATTTTCTAGAGATCATTTTCCAGATGTTCTGCTATGATTAGTATCTGGCAAAAAGCTTCAGCAGATATTTCCTTTTGCAACATCTCAACCAACAATTGGTCCAGTTATCAATGCTATTTTCAAGATTGGAACAACTTGACTTTCAAGATCTACGTATCTACATGTGCCGATGTTTCCATTTATGATCTGTGCAAGAACTCAGTTAACAGATGTTTCCATGTATCAAAGCTATCTTCAAGTTTTGTACAACGAAAAACCTTTTTAAAATGAGATTTACAAATAGGCTGTGTGTTTTTGGGTGGATTTTCTTTTTCTGTAAATCTAACATGCATGCTTTGTCATTTTTATATATTGTACTGCCTTAGCATTTACTAATAAAGATTTTAAAATGTTGCTTGAACTGAAACTCTACTGTTTAAAGTATTTATTGCTCAAGTATTCTATTAGTGTTTTGTCCAATTCCTGGTCAATCCCTATTATGAACATTTATTTTTACTAAGAACCTATCACCTTTTCAGAATATATTATCCATTTCTTGATTTTCAAATTTTTCCTTTAGTTTTTGTACAGGCCTGGGCTGAAACTTTGATATGGTGTCACATCAAATAGTTTGATTGTTTACTG